CTCTCTCTCTCTCTCTCTCTCTCTCTCTCTCTCTCTCTCTCTCTCTCTCTCTCTCTCTCTCTCTCTCTCTCTCTCTTCGGGCGTCGGAAACTTCGAGCATCGGAAACTTCGGCTATGCCAAAAGAAGACTCAGAAGAAGAAGAAGAAGAAGAAGAAAGTCTAAGATAGATAATACCACTTACCTTCACCGGTGGACGACGGGGCGGGGGAGGCCATGGCGTGCCGTGCCCGACGTGACAAGGGGCGCAGTCAGTAGTCGCGTGCTTTCCCGCACTCGTCACTGGGACGAAGTGTCGAAGTGACGAGGAAGGCTTCCTCCAGGGCTGCGGGGGCCGACGCTGGCCAGTCCGACTTCGGGTGGTTTCCCGCCCGAATCTTGAAAAACTGGCGGCCTATCTGGGCCACCGATCACATGAGATCGACGGCCCAGATAGGCCGCCAGTTTTTCAAGATTCTGGCGGCCACACTGGACCCGATTTTTTTTGGGGGGGGGCGACCCCCAAAAAAAATCAAAATCCGCCGCTACCCGTCGGCGCGATTTTCCACCGGGGGGGAACCGGGGAGGTCCACCGGCCGGTGCCACCGGTCCGGTCCCGGTGGGGGAAGGGCCCCCCGGTAGGACCGGAAATTCAGCCCTGCTTGGGATCCCAAAAAAATGGACGTAAGTGGGAACCACTGCACTGGAAGGTTGGGCACACTTGTGTGGTTGATTGCCAAGTCCCGATACACCCATTTGCCTTAGCAGCCAGCGCATTTGCACCCTATGTGATGCACGTCTTTTTTGTGTGTTCTCTTACAGATATGCATCTATTGTCAGGTGGGAGATGTAGACAGAGTAGGCAGAGGAGGAAAAAGAAGGCCCCGGGAAGGGCAGGGAAAGAAGGAGAGGGAGAGAAAGGAAAATTGAGCTGGTCCATCTGTCAATGCACACTTTCACAACAAAGTAATGTAGAGGCAAGGTGATTGATTGATGGGCAGAACTGCAGAAAATGCATGGGAAACTTGGGAAAGATAGGATGTACTAGTTTATTGTGGATGGCAACGGTGATAGACAGGACAGGAACGGTTCGGGTGTGATGTGAGGAAGTAGCACAGCCATACATTAAAGGGTACACACTGTTTTGACTGGGTCACCAGAGACGGATATCACAGGCAACCGGGCTCCACATGCCAGGATCATGGTTGTGGTCGGCCAAAGTCATATAAGCAAAACCATATATGCATGCCTGCTGTGCAGAGAGGGCATGCCATGACAGAATGCTTTAGGTAGGTAAACACCGACAGTCGCATGGACGATACCATCACAATGCTCGTAGCAGAGGGAATGCTGATTGCGTGCCCTCCGTTCAAGCATCAGCCAGGCTCTTGCAAAGGGGCAGCAAACACACAGTTTCTGCGTCTCTAACTTCAGCCAAATACAACGTATCGTCGTTATGAAGTTAATATGAACGTATACAAGCTAACTTTCTGGCCTGATACAGTCCTGATAAGGGTATGTTTTGTTCAGTGGAAGACATTGGCGTGGTTTGCCTCAGGCGGCGACAGGGGTGTATGCAACAAATGAAACGTTGGGAGAGTCGCACGATCTGGCCGGTTACTGCATGCCCCCGCGGTAACGACCTTTCAGCACTCGCACTGTGTGTAGTTCAAGTGACAGTGATGATCTTTCGGTATCCTGCACAGCATGTGACTTGCATGGCTGTTCGAGCTCCAATTCGGGCTGCAACATTGGTGTATTACCCAGTGATGATAGAAGGGGTTCTGTGATGGATGCGAATAGCGTCTGCACCCGAATAGAACGCTCGGTAGTTATTGCTGTACCTTGACTGAAAGTTGCACCAAATACAGCTATAATGACTGGGCGTTCTATTCGGGTGAAGACGGTAGGAGTCCAGCATGGCAGATGGGACATGAGTGATGAGTGATGATGAGGAGGAGGAGGAAACTGACAGTGCGGGTAGTCCAGACAGTACGTAAGACACATAATGGGCAACGTAAAAGTGGATGGATTGGATGAATACATGTCTCAGATACATCGCGGTTCTGCAGACAAAGCCTGCCATTCAGATCAATACCAATCAACAGTTGGAATAGGTGGGCTGAATGTGTCTCCAACCCTGCCTTGGTACAGTCACATAGTCGCTGTGGACGCCAGATTGCTGATCAGGTGCCTTGGTGATTTCAGCTCAGTAACTGACCCTTGACTTCGAGGTTGGTACTCGATGTAAGGGACACTGGACCCAGTAAAAAGTGGGAAAAAAAAGGAATTGATAGCCATCCTGATGCTTACAGAGGAGGCTGTTGATTGCTAATGTGCTCGCTTATTCAGCATGGGAAATGGCAGCCTTGATGTCCCCTTTCCCTGTTCCAGAAGCTTTCCCTTTTCAGACATTGTGGCTTGTGTGCTCACGACTGCCGTGACTTGAACTGACTTCACTGTCATAAAGAATAGGTGAGTCGTGAAGGGATGAATCGTGATTGCTCAGTGTGTGTCTGTGTTATTGTGGCATTACCATTACGAGAAAGAAAGGGGAAAGTTTTTTCAAAAAAAAGAAAAAGAGGGATAGGTGAGTCAGCATGCAAACTATTTGTTGGAAGTTGTTATGACGAGTTCGGATTCTTCCTTGCATCCTTGTGCAGGCAAGGACAGACTTCTTGCAGATGCAGACATGAAGAATACAGCAGCCTGTGGAACGGCGACGAATGTGAATGACACGGAGACGAATGTGAATGACGCACAGAGGAGGGCAAAGGCTTTTGTTGTCAGTACTCAGCGGTTGGAGGAGGTTCAAAAGGGTCGCTCAAAGCTTCCAATCATTGGAATGGAACAGGAGATAATGGAGGCTGTGACGGAGAACGCAGTCATAGTTGTTTGTGGAGAAACTGGTTGTGGGAAAACCACCCAGGTCCCACAGTTCCTGTATGAGGCTGGCTATGGCGCAGCTCTGTGCAAGGAACATCCCGGCGCCATTGGTGTGACACAGCCACGACGAGTGGCGGCAGTGACCACTGCCAAGCGAGTGGCATATGAACTGAATGTACAGCTGGGAAAGGTGGTGGGGTTTCAAGTGCGGTATGATCGACAAGCAGGGGAAGGTGCAGCAATTAAGTTCATGACGGATGGAATTCTGCTTCGTGAAGTACAGGTGGGTTGTCGATCCATCTATTACTGTGTAAAACACAATAAAATTGAATAAATTATAAATACCATTTCTTTTGCCCCAGCTCAATACCAGTAACCAATGATATTGCATTCTCACAATTTTGTCAGATTATATTGAAGGATTCACTACAACTGGATAGGTTGCCATGTTCTGTGTAATGTTTCCTAGCGGATAGTGATCTATCTTCAATGACTGTTCGTCGAACGACTGTTCGACGATCGGTAATGTTCTGTACAGCTACTACACTGCTACTGCACTCCATAACTGTCTGGAGAAATCTGCAGTGCAGCTTCTTCTCATGAGAAAATGGGGAGTTAAGGATGCACTGTATCCGTACGAACCATATCACCTCACCTGTACGGATCCCATCCATGGTTTCCAGGGTTTTAACGGAACCGCAACCTGACACTCGACATCTTTGTAACTTTGTTGGCATCATTCGACAACTCCCATCAGCTAAAACTGGTGTGTGTGTGTGTGTGTGTGTGTGTGTGTGTGTGTGTGTGTGTACGTTTGTATGTGTGTTTGTGTGCCCGCATGTGCTCCATGTGGTTTGACAGTCAGACTTCTTGCTGCGGAAGTACTCTGTGATCATAATTGATGAAGCACATGAACGCAGTCTCAATACAGACATTCTCATCGGGCTCTTGTCGCGGATTGTGCCTCTTCGTCAGGTATGGTTTTACTGATGGCAGACTCCTGGCAACTTCCGAGGAGGCTGCAGTTTCTGGCTCCCCAGCCATGTGAGGTCTTCTGCCTTTGTCACCTAGTTCTGTGTTGTTGTTCTGTAGGTGAGAATCACCTTTTTGTAGTGGCCTTGCTGAAATCCTCCTTTTTCAACCGTTTTGCGCTTCTCATCCTGATTTTGTCGAGTAGGATGTGTCTGAGGGAAATTCTGTATTGTGCTTTCTATTGCCGACATTGCCCAACACCTATCTCAGGCTATCTGTAATTGATTCTGTATTTTTTTTACTATTTTCTTTTACTGTGTGTTCGCCCTTGCAAGTGGCCCACCAACTTTCTCACTTGCCTTATTTTTGGTACTTTGGCCAGAGCGGTTTTGTTTTCTTTCATCATTGTCCCTTCCCTTGGAAGAGACGAGACTTCCTACTGTCTTCACCCGATTAGAACGCCCGGTCATTATATCTGTATTTGGGGCAATTTCAGACCAGATGCGGCGACAATGCCCGGGCGTTTGATTGGGGTGAAGATAGTAGGCTGCACCTGTCCAACCAAATACCGAAGCAGAAACATGCCGGAAGCCTGGGGAAGGTGTAAACAAGGGGGTAGAACAAGTTAAAAAAAAAAAAAAAAAAGGAGGTGGAAAGAACAGTCCTAAGCCCTTTGGTACTCAGAAAGGTCAGAGTGCTGGGTTCATGGCCAAAAACAATCTTCAGAATAGATACGGCGATTCAAGACTTGGAAATTTGATCCAGTAGAGTGGGCTTGGACACCAGACCAAAGCAGAAGCCTCAAAACCTGAGTGGGGCTCCGGGCCGCCCGGGTGACAGGCAGGGCACCCGGTTGGGGGCCGGGCCCTTCCAGCGCAATCACCTGCCGGGGGATTTCAGACCCCCTTTCGGACCCCCTTTGTGTGTGTGTGTGTGTGTGTGTGTGTGTGTGTGAGAGAGAGAGAGAGAGAGAG